GAAGTCGTTTTGATGGGGCTTTGCAGGTGGTTAGCACCGTAATAGTATCTAGCCGGGCGAATGACACTCTCACCTCCCGCAGTTCTTGCAAAAGAATCGCTGCACGACCAGATTAATTGACAGGTAATTCTTTCCCACGTTAAAGTCTACTCACGTGCACCGTGTTTCCGGAATTGGTGTTGTGGTCAAGGTACTCTGACAGAGTCTTCTTTTCATCCTCAATTTCCCATTGGCCGTCGTCAATGAAAAGGTTCATGGAAAATGCTATCAATATCAGTTGACGCAATTAATCAGTTGTCAAAGAAGCTTACGGCCACCCGCACGTTTGCAATTCGAGCTGTGTGAAGAGGGATGATGTCAGTCTCTCCACTTTCTCCGCGCAGGATCATGTTGCTTGACGCACCAATGGCAAACAACGACTTGCTCCGGCTTCTTCTTCAACACCACCTTGATGGAACCACAGTTACAATGACCAATGTAGTTGTCCATACTGACTTAGTTGATTGAGATGTATGCGTGTAGTTGTTGTGTATCCGTCGGCTTCTCTGGACTTTCCGTCTTCGCCGAATGTTGCTGTTGTCGATGAGTTTGGGGAACCGCGCACTGGCTTAAATCCGCCAGGTGGGTAGACCATCTAACATTTCGATGACGAATCAGATTCCTGAGTCAGTTATTACGGAATCAACATGACGAGCTTATGGTTTTAACTCCGGCCTAGTTCAGCGAAACTTGTTTCCGCAGACACAAATGGCATGCGGGGGAAGAGGGGAAAGACACATCGTGGCAGGGGGAATGTGGGCATTATCGCGACGTGATTAGTGCGCTGGCATGGTCTGATCTTCTCCACCACGGGCGCTAGAGCGGAACGCGGGCGGAATGGATGCGGAAACTATCGTTAAACATTCCGTAATGCATGTCTCTGAGTTCTTGGACTCTTTTTTTTTACGTCTAGTGTTGTTCTCCAATATGCTAACCATCGGCCCGAATCTATCACGGCCAATCACTCCACTTAGTTCCCTGCCAGTAAACGTTCCCTTCGTGTTCAAACTGGGGTCCTTCGGCATCAACAAGGTGACCCAGTTCACAACGATCAAATTCAACACGCGCCTGCTGAACGTAAAATTCGTCGAACCTCGGCGACAAGGCTTCTTGGAGGCTAGCGACGTTACCCTGGGGGTGAAGTGCTCTCCACGGCTGGGAGCATGTTGAACCCTTGCACGACTTGAGAACGAAGAGAAGAGAATCAAGCCTTGGGATGAGCTTCCTGAGAGGGCATCCTAGCACCGTGGCACGGGCTGCAAGGGCAGCTTCATCGTTGTGCAAGAGGTTATGCAGCTGACCAGGATCGGTCTGCGAAGGGTATGGTCAGCCTTCTTCCAAAGGACATGGATAGGTGTCAAACTTACAGTCATATCATAGAGCTCGTGCTCATTGGTGCACCATACAGAATAGTACAGATTGTAACCCTCGCCAACAACACGCAAAGCCTTGTAGGTGTTGTTGAAGATCCGCTTGGTGTCATCGCCGTTGAAGCCGAACTTGCTCTCGGTGATGGCCCATCCCCAGTACTCAACGTTAACGTGTTCGCGGGTCAAGGGAGACTCGGCAAGATCTTTTACCGACAATGGAATGGGAGCCCCGTCAAAATCTGCCCGGAGAGGCGCGCCTGCCAGTGACAATATGGTGGGTACGAGATCGACATGAGCTGTGACAGCTTCCGTGATGCCTCCCTTTGGAACTCCAGGACCACGGACAATCAGCGGAATGTTGATGTCCGTCTCATAACCACATTCTTTTCCGGGCTGCAGCCGGTGCTGGCTAATATGGTATCCGTTGTCAGTCGTGTAGAAGATGTAGGTATTGTCCAGCAAGCCGTGCTTTTCGAGCTTGTCGATCAGTCCATCAACAAGCTCGTCAACAGCCTGGAGCGCACGAAGACGACCTCGGTAGTGCTCATCGTTGTATTCCACATTCTCATCACTCAGCTTAGGCTGGCGACGAATCCAGTCAGCGCCGGACGGCTTGTCCGGGTTGAAATTCTCCGTGCGCGGCACCTTGGCGTCGGGGAAAAGCTTCTCGTGTCTCTTGGCAGCCTTTGGAATACTGGTCCTGAACTTGTCGTCGGAAACGGGAACGTCATCGTCCGGTCCCTTTACAGGAAGAAGGACGCTAGAGTTCACGTTGCTGTGTGGGGCGATGGGAGCTACGGCCAGGAAGAAAGGCTTGCCAGCTTCAACAGCATCATCGAGAAATTTATATGCCTTCTGAGCAACGAGGTCGGTTGAATATTCGCCCAGGTGGTTGACTGGCTTGTCCTTGTTGCGTTGGAATGTGGCATTCCAGTAGTCGTAGGTGTTAGGGTCAAGGAGGAAATCCTACATCATGTCAGAAACGGGCCAGTATTCGCTATCCGCGGTCTGCATCAAGTTTTGGGTCAACGTACGGATCCATTCCAACCCTTCAGGTGAGGACTGTCGTAGTTCCAAACAGTATGGGCGTTGAACATCTTTCCAGTGTAGAAAGTACTGTATCCCGCATCTTGCAACCAGATCGGCAGATAATTCTCATTGTGACCATTCTTCACGAAAATCGGGAATCCGCCTGTAAAGTGCTGTCAATAACCATTGCCAAACTAACTAACAGGTGCAACCTGAGATTTTTGTTGCATGCGCGCCAGAGCCTGAGCTCAACCGATCGGTGCATGGGGCAACTCACCGTAGGGAGGATTGAGATCCGTCACATTGGTGTTGTGAGCCAACTTGCCGGTCCAAAGACTGGCTCGTGATGGGCAGCAGACAGCGGTAGTGCAGAAATGCTTCTTATAGAGAGTTCCCTGCTCAATGAGGCGCTTTTGAATGAGAGGGATGTACTCGAGAGAGTTCATGTGAAGATCTTGGTCATCGGTAAGAACAAAGACGATGTTTGGTCGGGAGGATGATGAAATGGGATCCCGGTCCGGGCCGACGAGAGGAGTCTGAGCATCGCTAGCCGCAGTAGCGAAGCTGCTCGAGAGCACAAGGGCCGCAGAGGCCAGTATTGACGACCGTAGCTGCATTTCGAAAGACAAACTCAAAAGAACTCTAACCCCAATTAATTTACCAGGACGTTTTGAATTTGATGCAAGAGAAGCGTCAATTTTTGTCTGTACACTTGAAACTTAAGCTACAATGAGCCTGACTAAGCCCCCGCGACCCGACCCGAGATGCTGTTCGCCGGATGTTATCTACCGCTAATGGCCGGCGAGCGAGTTCCGATGACGTGCTCCGGCCCCAGTATCGCAACAGCGAAATCCACATACCCCCACCGACCGCGGAGAACCATGGGTCTGCGATGTGGCTGCGAACCTCAGTCAAGACTGATTGACTGTGATGCAATACCAGGATAGTCATGTGACGAGTGCGAATGTTGGATGACATAGTGCAACCGCAACTGATGTCCCTGCAAAACTTGATGAAAACAGGCACGGCGTCGGACTTGGCCATCCCCTTTCAATGTACTCATGGCACTACAACAGAGGCCAGATGTCGGCATCAATCATTGCTTCTACCTCAAACGTTTCAGTGACGTCTAAGGAGAAGCAGAAAGGTGTTCTGAAGCATGAACGATCCTCGCGCACTTCATTCGACATAATTGAAAGGCATCATGAATTCTCCAAGACTACTTATCGAGGATGCTTGTGAATGGGTGATGATGGTATTTTCATATGTCATGCCGACGATTCTAGCGCACGGTACTCTTTATGTGATATCTTTGACCATGAGTACAGGATAGCGCTATTAATTCTGCGTTGGGTATAGACTGTGTAAGCAGCGTCTCGAACAACATTCATCCACCGTGTTGTTCAGCGGTATAGAAACAGGAGAATAGGAAATAACCATAGATATGAATATACACATACACGAATACAGTCATAACAGAGATTGGATCTCCTCTTTTGTAGTTTACTCTACGAAAGATTTACGCCATCATGATATTCGCAATGATCTAGCCGTTGTCTAGTTGCTGTTGCGAAAAGGTCAACTGACTAACTCCTCAATTGCACGCAGTGTGATCTGAGTGATTCTCACTCGAACCCTGTTCGCTCGTATGCTATTTCAACGGTATTACACACCGCCATGCTTCAACTAAGTAACATCATCGCTTTCAGAATATTCAAAGCTTGGCACGAGGCTAGAGCAGCCCTAGGCCTTGTGGCCTGCAACTCGGTCTTCTACTTGGGCAGCAGGATGAGCTTTGAGTGCAGGACGGCACGTTGTGTTGCTTACCTAGCCCCGCTATCTTTTTTACTCTACACCAACTTCCATACAGAGATATTCGTGGCGAAGCTAAATAGAGTGAGCCAAGTATCGGGGTGCTTTCAACGGCACTAACGTTGGCGAAGTGTGGCACAGCCCGCAAACATGATTCTCAGGGACTATATGCAACCACGGTGGTACATGGTTTTCAGAAACATGATACTGCTCAAATATTTGTTGAATGATATGAATTAAGTGGAGGGACGGTTGTCATTTGAACGCGGTTTGAGATGTCCATGGAGATTTCGAAGTGGGAGACATGCCTGATTTACAGAGCGCTGTGTTCTTCTCTTTTGGGTGAATGCTTTCAGCCAATAATTGATGGTCGAGCAACACACCAAGCCTTTCCCGTTGAGATGAAATTAAAGACAAGGTTTAGTGTGGAGATCTTGTCCCTTATCAACCTCCAACAACCTCGTGCTACTGGTTTAAGAACCAACACTACACGCCGAGAACATCTCCTGCTGCCCACAAATGTCGCTTGCATCCTGCAAAGATGCCTGACGCTCGCTGTTGGATCTTCTCGCAAGTTATCTAGCCTGTTCCGGAGGCTTGGCCCGGGACAGGCATCAAGCATCAATTGCTCCCCCTGCTGTCTGCGTGAGGGGTTGTTGAGCATAACTACATATTCTTTCGATTCCTTTCATCACAAAACAATACGTCCATCAGTCAACATGCAAGAAGGTCCCACGCGCAGACCACAGGATGGCCACCTCTTCCCCGGCGGAGTCCGTCCAACTCAGTAGCGACAGTGACTCATTGCGTCAATTCGACGAAGACTTCTCCGACCCTTTGCGCCGCGCCCAAGTCAGGGTTCTACATTACAAGATTCTTCTGCCGCCCATAAGCGAAAAGCGTATCAAGAAGTTTCAAAGCCGGAAGGAGGCCGCTGCAAACAGTGTCGCAATCACACAGGCACTTCTCGATCTATTCACGAGACTGCACGTTTGGGATTCCGCATCCGAAGCTGGCGAGGAGAGCGGTATCAAGCTCGTGTCGTCCTACCAACCGCCTTCATACGATGACTATATTCACGACGGGGAACCTATTTGGTATTTTCGCAACGATCTAAAGTATCTTGGTCTGGAAGAGAGCTTATTGCTCTCTTCGGGACTGCTACCAGAAGTCTGCGTCATCTCTCATCTTCACGTGAAAACTGGCCAATACCGCCTGCACCCCAGTTTATTGGCGGTCCTGACCAAATCCTTACCCGCTCTACGCCGACTTACGTTCAAACTTACGATGCCAACTCGTCGGTACATGTTCCAGCGGAGAGAAATCCGATGCGCCCTCGCCGATGCAATGCGGGATGCGTCTCTCGATGATCTCGAGGTTCTCGAACTCCGACTTTACGACGGTGCGCCAGATGACGAAAGATTCGGCCTCGACGTGCTCACAAACTCTGAAGGACAAGACGATTTGAGCATGGCCATTCGGGATATGCTCAAGCTCCCAAAACTACGTGAAGCGTCATTTCGAGGCGGCTGGATCGTTGCACCATCGGCCTTTCAGACAGATACCTCTTTCGGGCCACGTCTGGAACGTCTATCCTTCGAGATCATCCCCGCCACTCCGGATGGAAAGTGGCTAGTTACGGGCAACATCGAGTACGCGTGGGAAAATAACGATAGACCATCAACCGAGGAGAGCCTGGCAGCTCTCGACTCACAAGACTCCGACGCAACAGATTACATCCCAGACCACTCATGGTTCAGGGAGGATGGAAACTACCCACAATGCTTTTTCCGCTACACCTTTGACAGCCGCACATTTGATCCACTGCTTGTTTCCCTGGCCCAGGGCGTACGGAGTATGCCTGTGCTGCGAGAGCTGAAACTGGTCATGTACCAAGGCGTTCATCTCGAAATGGGGTATTTTGCCAGCGATGTCAAAAATGAGGACTTTCACCGCCTGCATAACCCTGAGACCTTCCCACGTTACAACTTTGAATTGGAAAACATCCATCGCCCGCGATGGGTAATGATATTGGTTGGAGAGGGGTTTGAGTTTGACGGGGTCTGGACATTTTCGTCCAGCATAGTCACAGCCATGGAGAAAGGTGGTGGACGAATCTTATTCAACGGAGATGGTAAAGTATTGGTTTCCTCTGGCGACGGTGCAACGTTCACTTGGGTCACATGAAGCAGTCGTCGTTCAGTTTCGACTATGGCTCACATAGTAACGTAACAGGTGTAACCCGGACATTCGTGAAGTGTTGCAGGGATATGAGAATGTCAATACTTGAACCATAAAAGCTAAGGACCACCGCGTATGTGGAGCTACTGAAGCAGGTACAAGTACTTGTCAAAGCCTACCCAATCCTTGGCTTAGAAGTTGCGTTGATCATGATCTGAGCGACCAGGCACTGTACTACTACGAGCCACAGCTGCCCCCATGAATGGGAATTGCCTCCTTTGATTCCCCCCAATTGAAACGAGGTCGTCCATGCCATCGAGGCGCCTCTTTCCAGCCATCTCTCTTCATTTGCTGCTGGTGTAGACCAGTCATGCTTTAGCTTTCCTGATCCATATCAAGAGGATGTCACGTTGACCCGTACACAGCCCTTTACGGTCGGTGGATGCACGCAAAGGGCTCGCAAGCTCCAGCCCGTCTATGCTCACGAGGGTGATGTTTCATGACAGCCGCCTTCCTGACATCCTATTCCGCTGTGCTGGCCTTGAAGCTGGAAAGGCTAAAAGTTGCTGCTTGATGAATATGGAATCAATTCGGCATGGTAGGTGATAGCGACAACGCATCTACTGGTTGTCGTAATTAGTTCTGACAAGTTGCCGGAGGATGCGCACAAATACTCACATGATGACGTCTGCACGAATAGCCTTGACTCTTTGTATCTTGAACCAGACTCGAAATCAATCTCCCTCCGTCTTCGTCTTCTCTGCAGCTGTAATCCCCCCAACAGCCCCTGCTATTATTCCGCCGACAATGAGAATCGACATAGCAAGAACGAAGATCCAATATCTTCGCCACCATGTTCGCCAGTTCCGCTGCGGTTTCATTTCTGTTGAAATAGGAATAGCCACATCTATTGTAGAAGGCCGGTTCTCGGAATGGTTCGGTTTCACTTCAAGCATCGAATGCTGCTGTCTGTTCCCGCTCTCGAGGGAGGAGTAGTCCACATCGTCAGGTCGGTTTCTTGATGGCATTTTGTGCGGAGGCGATAATGAATGATGATTCCCCAAGCAAAAAACGATGGCTTGGCGGTTTGATTGACCGGTTTGGCAGCACGACAACGGTGTATGACGGAGAGAAGTTCGAGATTAATAGCACAGGGTGCCACGTGTGGGCGAGGGAGAGATATTTGAATGCACGCGTGGCGCCTGGCCGCCCCGTTGCACAACACGTGCGCTACTGCGTGTCTACCCTGTCAGTTCGTGTGTCCCCGAGACAGTTTCAAAGATTCCAGCCACAAATCAAGGGATAGGAGAAACATCGTCCCACTCGAAAGGTGCCCAAGTCAGGCTGTCGGGGTTTCATTGGCGGTGACAGTGTTGATGATTGCACAGACTACGAAAAAGAAATGCAGGCCGGGTATGATTCGCTGTGTTGCGGCAATCATTGAGACTAGCGCGTGATGGTCTTGGGAGCAGTGCCTTGGTTCCGGGCTGGCGGGTAACATAGCATCTAGCTATCTTTCTTTTTGGACCGGATTTTCCGAATGTTGTCGATAGATCTCAGGAATGTGGGCTTGTCTCTCCTTCTGAGAAACTGAGAGTTACCAGTGCGGCGACACGGTTCACGACAGGCAAACAACCTCAGTTCGGGTTTTCCGAGCCAGCTTTCGTGAAGCACCCCTGTCTTCAGCTCATGCAACTACCAGTTCATGTCTCAGTTACAAGCCACTGATTCTGCTCCCACGCGTGGTTCTCGCTCAGCGTTCCCCGTAAAAGCAAACATGAGCACCTTTCGTGCGCCAAAGTCGTATTACACTGGAACAACTCTATGACCCCTTTTCGAATTCTGTGGAGATGCCCACGGTGAACATTCCTCAGGAGAAGCATCTTATCATGGTGGCGTATGAAGGCTGTTACAATTACTCGAAACTTCATTCCCAATATGTGCGTATTTTTCGACGACACGTTACAGGTCAGAAATCAGCTCATGTGTGATATTGAGAAGTGGCTGCTCGGCCATTGTACGGGCGTCGGGACTTTTGGCATCATTCACGCCTAGCGGCCTTGTTGGTGTCTATGGCACTAGCCATGGCATCTAAGTATTCCATGACACACGAGTCTCCTAGCCTTGGATCTTCTTTTGATAGCACTTTCAAAACATCTGTTGCTAGCCTCTTCCATCGCAACAGTGACAAGTGCTCCCTCCAGTCGCTCAATTATTGATACTATTCCACGAATTGTCTTGTCTTCATCATCTTAGGTTTCAAATCCATGACGGATTGGAAGCTTGCAATGCACCGTAGATAACCAAACTATTTACTAGTGGTCATAATACAATGGTTCTTGTTTTATATCAAATCAACAGGTCCTTTCCTGAGTTTCGAGACTCCATAGAGATTCTTGCCCTTGTCGAGCTTATCGTGTCTCCGCAGACAGTCTTGGCGAGCGACTAAGCAGCTGCCAATTATTATCTAACAAAAACCAAAGAAAGAGCGGACAGTGACAAACCGCTCATGCATAATACAGCGGTCTTCTTCTCTTTGACTCACATCCAAAGATATGATATCAGCGTCACAAGCGGCTCACAATGTCTTCTGACAGCGGCCGCGATCCGACATCGCCAATGCAGCAACCTGAGTGACCGATAACGTCCTCCTGGCTATGTCTCATCGCATTGTCGCCGACTCGCCGACAACCCGACAAAAATTTCCTCATGCGGGGAGGAACCAGCTATCCCGCAGCACTGAAGGAACGGTTCACAGATGTCGCAGTCTGGGCCCTCAGTCACGCAATCGCCTGCGGCAGGGCTTATCTGGGCCCAAATCCGACGCCGCTCCAGTTTTCTTGATCCCCGATTTTCCCCGCCACCCGGGGCCTCGCCCGCAACCCACCGGCGCGGAACCCTGGCGCCGGATATGATTGGAGGTCGAACCCACCGACGGAAGGGAATTGATCTGAAATCGCAGAGAACGGAAAGCTTGGTGGGGTTTGCCCAGACTTTGGCGTCCTTGGAAAACAAGCAGAATGGGACGTGGGCGCGGGATGGTGCTGCAAATCTTTAGATCGCGACATTGGAATATCGCTTCATGCAGAAGGGTTTTCTTTCGGCCGCCAGCTTACATGAATCGTATGCTGTTACGTTTGCTAATACTACGCAACCTTGGCTGGACGTGTATATAACCTTAAAGTCCTCAGCCCACCCAGGCCCTTACTCTTTGTGATGTTATCGCGACCATCTCTCCCGTCGATCCTCCCCCGCTTTCTTAGCTCCGCACGCTTCGTAGGCAATTTGTCGTCACGAACAGGCGAAGGCGGCCACCATGGGCGAGCTAAGAACGGTGACAACGGCCCAACCGTCGACTGATAACCCTATCAACTATGGACCTCCCGAAGAGGGCATCTTCAAGCACATTTCCAAGGTCATACCGTACTTCCGGAACGCGCGCAATGTGCTCGTTTTCAAGTTGGATGTGATGCTGCTGGCATGGATGTTCCTTGCAGGCATCATGAAGGAGATGGACCAGTCAGCGACGACGCAGGCATACGTTTCGGGCATGAGAGAGTCTCTGAGCCTGTACGGAAACGAACTGGTCGAATTCAACACGTATTTTTCCATCGGATACGCCCTCGGCCTCGTGCCTGGCCAATTGATTCAGACGAGGGTATGCAACTGGCGTCAGGCTGTCTACAATCGAGGCTTTTCTAACATCAAGACAGTTCCGACCGTCCATGTTTCTCCCATTCTGTGAGATGAGTTGGGGACTGCTGGTGCTCTTGTAAGTACTCCCTGTCTTTTGCCCCTGAGCCCAAACTCACGAATGGCACGCAGCACATACAAGGCACCCAACGCTCAAACCATTTTCGGTCTTCGCTTCTTCCTCGGCCTGTTTTCTTCCGCCTTCTGGCCCAGTGTCGTTGCTCTTATCTTCAACTGGTATACCCCCGCCGAGCTCGCCGTTCGCGTGGCCTGTTTCACAGTCTGCGACGTCGCCGGCGCCATGTTCCTCGGTGCACTCCAAGCCGCGTTGTACCGCGACATGAATGGCGTCCACGGTCTCGCCGGCTGGCAGTGGCTTTTCATCATCTCCGGCGCCGTCACGGTCGGTCAAGGTCTCTTAGCCTTCGTCACCGTCCCGGATTCTCCCGCCAACACTCGCGCCCTCTACCTGACAGAGAATGAGAAGCGCCTTGCACGAGAGCGCATGGGCAACTCCGGTGTCTACACCTCCAAGAGGATCCCCGCATCCGTTCTCAAAATGAAGCTGCGGAAGCTCATTGTCCACCCGATCACTTATTTCTACCTCTTCTCGTTCGCCTTCGGAGCTTGGGCCCATCGCGCCAATTCGTATTTCGTCCTGTATCTCGAGAGCATTAAGGACGCAGCCGGGAACCGGGTATATGACACGTACCAGGTCAACATCTTGCCTCTCGGGGGATACGCCCTGCAGATCGTCACAAACGTCGGCCTTAATTGGCTTTCCGACTGGAAGCGTTGGCGCTGGCAAATCAGCGTCTTTTCAGCTGCCGCCCACGGCATCTGCTTGGCTGTGCTCTGCGGATGGCCCTCCGATCATAAAGTTATTCTTGCTTTCTATTTCCTAACCTACGGTACCAATGCCGGCAGCCCCTCACTCATGGCATGGATGGCGGAGATTCTCCGCAAGGAGCCGGAGGCTCGGTCCATTATTGTGGCGATGACGGTCACTATTGTTTACATCGGCCATGCCACGATTCCCTTGAGGGCGTTCCGCGTTGCCGACGCACCCAGATATCCCGTTGGATTCCCACTTACCACCGCTTTCACGGTCGCCACGATCCTGGTTCAACTCGGCATGCTGTGGTGGGACAGGCGGCATCCGGAGATGGCAGAGTATGGATATGACCCCGCCCTCAGCGCTGATGTTTCTTCAGACGGGGAGAATCCCAAGCTGGCGGACGCAGAGACCGTTCAAGCTGGAACTGATTCGAAAGCGGCTAATACAAATATTGCCAAGGAACTTTAGATTGGGCTTTCCGTGGTTATTTTCCTAATTCCGCGGCATATATAGTCTTTCGACCAAGGCTTCATCACTCAAATATCAGTACATGCTCCTTCAAGGGAAGTTACGTCGTATAACCGTTCGAAAAATGTACTTGCCCTGGTTCATCTGGGCTGCAGAATACCACGCTGATGCAACATGCTTGAATGATACACAGGAACCAAAGTCTACTCGTCATCACTAACGCAGGATGCATCTTCTACCGTAGCCACAGCCAGTAGGAACCGGTGTCTTTTGAGATCTGTCGATTTAAATCCACCGAAATCATATTCCCATGGCGCTCCTCAACAAACTCCAAGTTCGCCTTGGGAGGTCTGCATGGCCTTCGTGTGTCTTGGAAGTATGTCGACGAAATTTCGTGCATTTCAACATGCAGATGCAGACTTTCCGATGGCTGGTTCTGGATCCATCATTTTGGCCTCGGCAGCGGGCGCGTCAATGTTTCGCACCTTACCCCTCCTTTACTTGGGATGATATGCTTGACGTCTGCCAGAGAACGATGGCCAGTGAGTCTGCGCATGTCTCCGAGGGATGCGTGACTCGTGCGCCGAACATAGTTGAAGTGTCGTCAGCCGTTGAGGGATAGTGCGGTTTGTAAAACGGCGGTCTTTCTAGCGTGGCGATTACCAACCCGCCGGAACAAGGGGGAATTAGGCAACAAGCTTTGAGGGGTAAGGTCGAACGCTCCATGCCATATGGACGACGGAGAATAAGTTCAGGAGGATTTGGGACCTGATTATTGTTTACCGTAATGCAACGTCGCGAGCTATTCCAACTGTCCTGCGTGGAACGCCAAAGACAGGTCGGAGGGCAAATGTGCAGATGAACTATCATCGCTGGGGGTTATACTCCGACTGGTAGGTCTGAGATACTGCATCCGTGGCATTCAGTGACAGCCCGTCGGTTCGAATGGAGGAGCGGGAGATGTGCCCTTTGGAAACTTTGATAGCTGCTACTTCCCTGTCTGAAAAGCTTAAAACGGGAGAGCTTCGCGTCCCCCCAAAGCTTGTAGAGCTTCAATTTCTTGGCTGTTGGGGAATCTACTCGCCTCTGCATGGTCGAAAACCTCTTTTAGTCCAAGAAAAGTCACCCCTTTTCTCATTATGACGCCGCCTTCTCGTGAGCTTCGGCGGTAACCAATATTGGCCATATTCAGATTACGCACCCATCATGAGGCTCTCCACACTTATCGCATCACTGTTCGCAGTACAAATTCTCGCTTTCCCGTTCGAGGCTTGCAAAGGAGACAAGGGTCGCAAGCCTGATGGTTCGCGCAGTGGTTCGCGCGGAAACAAACCTGGAGGGGTGGGCGGCGGTGGAGGAGGCGCGGGGGGCGGAGGTGGACGAAGGAACGCCAGCCATCCCACCAACGGAAGCACTACTATGAACGGACAGCACCGCAATGTTCTATATGTTACAAACTGGAGCATATACGGCGCTGGATACAACCCTGATAACATCCCCATCGACAAGATCACGCATGTGCTCTACGCGTTTGCGGACATCCTGCCGAATGGAACCGTGTGAGTGACGCAGGTAGCGATATATCATATTGGCACATTCAGTGACGCTAACATGTCTAGGGTATCATCCGATCCGTGGGCTGACACTGGAAAGTCTTTTGGCAAAGACAAGGTGTCGGAGCCCGGCAACAATGCCTATGGTTTAGTGAAGCAGCTATACATGAAGAAAATGGCCAACAGGCAATTGAAGGTCATCATGTCAATTGGCGGATATAACTGGTCCCCTAAGTTTGCTCCGGTCATCGCAAACGAGAAGTCCAGAGCCAACTTTGTGGCCTCTTCTGTGAAGATGGTCGCCGATTTCGGCCTAGACGGGTTGGACGTTGACTACGAGTATCCGAACACCACCGAGACGAGTGCGAACACCGTAAAGCTGTTGTCCGAGCTTCGAGTAGGCCTCGATCAGTATTCAGCAAAGTATGCGAATGGCTATCATTTTACGCTGGGTTCCGCCGCGCCGGCTGGGCATCAGAACTACGCGAAGTTGGACTTTAAAGGCATGGACAAGTCGCTCGACTTCTGGTCTCTCATGGCTTTCGATTTTGCCGGTTCGTGGGAGAACACTACTGGCCATCAATCGAATGTCTTCACCAGCAAGAAGACCCCTTTGAGCACCAGAGCCAGCATTGACAAGGCCGTGAAGGATTACACGAAGGCCGGGATCCCTGCTCGAAAGATCAACCTCGGTATACCGCTGTACGGCCGTGCTTTCAGTAACACCAAGGGCATGGGACAGTCGTACCGCGGCCTGCCAAACGGAACCTTAGCCCAGCCCGGTATCTTTGTCTACAAGGATCTCCCCCGCCCCGGATCTAGGGTTGTCTGGGACAATGTGGTCAAGGCAACCTACTCCTACGATAATCGCACGCAGCAATTGGTCTCGTATGATGATCTGAAGAGTGCCCTGTACAAGCAGGAGTACATCAAGAAAAAGAAGCTCGGAGGTGCCATGTTTTGGGAAGCATCTGGGGACAAAATGGGAGATGAGAGCATCGTCCGCAATATGGCAGATTGGATGGGCAAGCTTGATCGCTCCAAGAACCTGATCTCTTACCCGGTTTCAAAGTACGACAATATCCGCAACAACATGAAGGGACGCAACGCTACTTCCAACACCGCTAAGCCAACCGGGCCCAAGTAGGCGACTGGTAACACAATCGTTGCAGCACAGGAATGGTGGCAGGACCGTACTAAAAATCGTGTGATAAGCAAGCAGTCAAGCCATGTGGAAAGAGGGATCTGGCCCGTTCGTTAATCAGGAAACAAATAACTTCACTTCTTTGTAAATACTATTACATGATAATACCAGCTTCTCTGAATTTCTCAAATGCCTCTAGCCACCCTTCGGTCGGATCTCTCTCATCCGAAAATCCCACAGAACGGAGCCGCCCCAGGCTGAGCTGTCGGTCAAAGGACAGCCAGTATCCCACGCTGTCAAGTTGAGACGCTCCGGCACCCACGCCCGATGAAGGGGCTTTCGGGAAGCCCTTCTCCGCAAAGACATACTTGTGCTTCTTGATGTATTCGCCGGGCTTCAGAGATTGGTCACCCTCAATTGGGTCCACGCCCTTCAGCCCAAACCACTTAGCAAGCGGTGGCCATATCTCTCGAAATTTGGTCGGCTTCTCACTGTCAGCCATGTTGATGATCTTTCCGCCACATTTGTCCGGATTTAGCGAAGCATAAACAGCGATGCGGCCCAGTGTGCGGGAAGACACCGGGGTGAAGAGGCTGTTGTAGCCTGCTGCATTGCCAGGAAACGGGACCTCTACCGAAGGCTCCCTTGTGCTATCAACGCCGTGATTGTGAGCATACAGTGAGAGGTACTGAGCCCAGTGCAAAGCAAGAGACCACCCGGATCCATTTGGAGTGAAACCCACAACCGCATCCGGGCACACTTCTGTCCACGTCCAGCTCTTGCCCTCGCTAGCTTTGCCTAGAAGCTGCCTGTACCAGGGATAGGCGACCGTCTTAGCATAGTCCCCAGGGAGGTTGTCCGCCATTGACTCCTTCAGTGGAGCTTGGAACGTTCCTCCGGGGACGTATATGCCATACCCCTAGAAATATCAGTTGCTAGGTCCTGTTATTGGGTAGTCTCTACGTACTCTCGTTCCGCTAGGGTAGATGAAGGACCTTAGCCCAGGCGACAAAGATGTGATGGCGTCAACCACACGCTGCATCATGTTGCAATTGGTCTGGCACTCCAGAATATGATCGTCGTTAACCTCCTTGAATACTATGATTCTGTCAGGAACACGGATTTAGTCCATCGATCGCAACGGAAAGGTTTCTTACCAAAGTAAAAGACATGGGTGACGTCAGCTACCCCATGGACTTTCTCCTTCAGTTGTCTGGATAAGTCTTCGGCAGTGCCGTTCATCAAGTTTACCCCGGAAACTATCTCCAACCTGGGCCGGGTCGTAGATTCCGGTGGCCAGTAGAACTCTGATTCGGGCAGCGGGCGATTGATCACTGCGGTGATCTTGTCGAATAATCCCTCAGCGGGGTAGTTGGAGAGCAGCTGTTCCACGGTTGACCAGCCGACTAGGCCAGCTGCGCCGAAGACTATTGCGTGGTTGAGGTTCGACATGATGCAAACTGTTCAAAAAGCTTTGTTTGAACACTTCAACTTTCGCTGCAGGTCCGGGCCCTCGAGAGACGGATGTTGGTTTGTTGGAGTTTATTTAAATCGTAGTCGATGAATGAAAGAGGCTGAAGCAGCTTGCCCACGCTCTACAACGAAACGAGCTTAGGGGCACGATGCAGTGCCTATCAATTAATCTAATGCGCTAGTGGCGCTGAGCCATTATGAATCATAGTTCGTCATAACGCCTCTGAACACAGGGTTTTAACGAAGCCTGCTGTACTTCCGTTGAATTCATCTATTGCATTACCGTGTCCAAAATATACTACCCCGGCCCTCCGCGGGCAACCGAACCAGAGTTTGGTCTCTAGCTTCAAGAACTCGATCAACCTATCATATTCTGGTATTAAAACAAATGCTATCGAATCTTCGGTGGCGTTTACAGGCTTTACTGGCAGAGCAGACACTTTAAGTACTCCTCTTGGGGTGTGCGGATGTCCTTTCAATGCTCAACATTGAGAGCTCAGTCTACTACTTGACAGCTCTCGCCAGCTGTCAACAGGTTCACTGCCTAGGAAAGGGATTCAATACGCGTCTCACTGATCGGCCCTGAGCATTCCTTATTCGCATAGCCCTTATCCTCAACAGCCGACGCCAGGACTCTGCGCCGCAATCTTGCTTCCCTTCTCACCATCAGGTCAGCAATTCTTTACATGCCCTCTTGGATCAATCACCGCCGATCTCACGACTCGGCAAGGACGACGACTACCCACCATCAGACTGTCACGTCATCGCTCGACGAGGACAAGCTCGGGAGGTATGATGCAGGACAACAGCTCATCCTCGGCGCGCAATGCTTGTGAGACATGCAGGCAAGAGATCCAGCCATTTCGCTACATATGGGCGCTGCACAAGGCTGTGTCTAACTGTAAGGTTTAAGGAGCGCCAAGTACGGTGTAACAGAGCATTGCCGACGTGCGGGTTCGTGTAGCCACCTCGGAATGGGATAGCCACATCTGAGCGGGCCTGCCAACTATTGGAAGTGACGCTAACACTTATATTCATCGGCTTTTAGACGTTGGAAACGTCTCAACCAACCTTGTAGTTACAATCAAGTCGACAGCGTCGCACGCGCAATGAACAGCTGCTGCAGCTCCAGGAGAGGGTGGCCAAGACCGAAGCACAGCTCGCTCGTGCCATTTCAACGGTAGAAAGTCCATCACGGCCTCCGCAGTCTAGAAGGTAGCCGAGGATAGAGCGTAGCAGATAGGCCGTTAACCTTGCGGGGCTGAAAGGCACTGAGGTGACGAGAGAGTTTGGTTAAGTAGAGTTTGATTCAGTACGCATGTATGATTAGTCTCCTTTTCCATGTTCATTTCACCTTCCTTCGAATGTGCCTCGGCATCCTTTATGAGAGCAGTTGTTAGTATGATCACAAATCAATACCCGTCCTCCATACCGTTGAAGCTACATCATGGCACCTGTAGGATTTCGCTTCAGTTCACCCATAGCTCCAGCAGCTGACTAATGCCTGTGCCTCGGCTTTCCATACCAGAGCACTTGTAAGTATGGATCACAAATCAGTGCCCGTCAAACTTCGTCAAGCAGGGCTGCAGGTTCTAGAATGGAACCCAACCCCCCCCCCCCGGGTCCTTGTGAAACTGATGGTCAAATATTTACAGTTGGCGTTTGAAAACATGAAATCCAAATTCAGGTGAAACAGGGGATTTATTCACTACCAACAAGAGATTAGGCCGAGTTAGGCAATCTCGACTCACTGGTTGCAGACGCCAGCAGCGTCCACATCGCGGACCACACATTCTCCATACATGTGCAATGCCGTCAGTCCGTTCTACGCAGCATAGGCTGCGTTACGAGACCTGCCTTGCTATTATGTATAACGGCGTGCGGTGGCCACGGTGGCCACGGCGGCTCGCAGATGGCTAGAAATGGTTTGGCCCCCGCAATTGAGCGACTCCACGTATCGAATGCGTAAGATTGGCGATACGTTGCGCGCGATTAGCTGTGAGAATGAAGCTAGATCAACCAGATGACCATAAAGTTTGAAGAAAAGAGCACTGCCTCTTTTTCCTGACTGAGGGCACGGGTACCTATTAAGAAACGTCAGACTCGTTTCTCGCACTTTTCGACAATTTCCTTGAGGTTCTAGCCGCACATGAGACTGTTTCTCAGGTTTTTGATGTAGTATAGTGAAGCTGACTTCAGCATCTTGTTAAGGAAACGAACTACTTGGTCGTGTTTGTGTGTGTAGAGGTCTCTGGCGACTCGCACCTTTTCATATGAAACCCCACGGGTTGACAATAGAAGTTTCTCTTCCATCCTAGCCCTTACAAATGTCCCCGTCAGACTCATACGTCAGTCGACAGGATGTGGTCGCAGACAGCGACCTGCCATATTTAACTCTGAAGAAGAAGGAAACGGAGGGAAATAAGAACTCTATTTTGGACCACTGCAGAACTACAGGCCTTAGAAATAATGCTAGGCCGATGAGCACCGTTTCATAATATCATAGTTGGGACAGAACGTAACATGACTTTCTGCAACTCCCGAATCCCATGGCGAGCAAAGTGTGTAACATTCAATACATCAACAAATCAGGCCCCCTGCTTAAGCTTCTTTTGAAACCGCCCGCGGTTAGGCAATCTGTAGTAGATGGTAACTAATCTCAGACCTCTCAGTGCGTGAGCAAAGATGCTAAATGTCACTCACTCGGCGTCGGTATTCACTCTTTAAGTTTTAATAACCTGGACATTCCCTACACAGGTAATGTTTCGCGCCTGAATGATACACACAAGAAGTACTTAAATCGAGCCTTTCCCGCGTATCATTCTCAGGTCAGACACTAGTTCCCGACTGGAGCCTGGCTGTCGATCACTTCGCTCGACTTTGGCAACCTTGTGTGCATTTCATAACCACTTCAGCCTCAAGCAAGTTTCATCAACATGATCATCTCAATTCATACAGCGGCGATCATTTGCGCCGTCTCATCTGCAGGCTTTGTGAAAGCTGCCCAGCCCAATTCGACCGAGGTATGGCCAAGCTCTTGTACAGGGCGCTTCTAGTGATTGACATCAGACAGGTTCACAATGTCCGCAAAGCCACTGGTGAACTTGCGACGTCCTCGACCGTTGCCTCGGGATTTGGCGGTGCTAGTGTCAGCGAACTAGTCAAAGAAAATGTCCAGAGAGACCCTGCGTATCTCCAAACCAAGGACTCTAAGAACTCTCCAGGTGTCCCTAATTGCCACAACAAGCGAGTTCAGCGTGACATTTGCCCTGAGGGAAAGAAAGCACCTCCTGGATGTAAACAGGCATACGCACGATTCTGATTGAACGATGATAGCCCATCCCCTTGAGTGCTTTCCCTTATTAAGTCTCTTGGAAGTTATTTGGCTTTGCTTTCTTTGAGGCCTCTTCTTCTGTGTTTTTAGCAGCGAACAGTGCGTCGTTAAGGGAAGCGCTTCTGCCCGTAGTGTTTTCCGCTGTACGGGCTATTGTTAAATACAACTCCACGTCGTTCCGTACTGTCGGGACTGT